GAGCCCGGCCATCTCAAAGCCCATAACGGGCCGGGCCGGGCTTTTTTTCGATGGGCCGGGCGGGCCCCCATCGGCCCATGAGCCCGCGGGCCAAATGATGAGGCCTACTTAGTATACAGCGTGTACTATGGTATGGAAGGATACCATAGAGGAAAACGATAGAGAAAAACTATGGTATGGAAGGAAAAGGCAACCTTTTTTTTTTTTTGGGTGGTCAATAAAAAGGCAATTACTTTATTTTAATATCAATTATAAACTTGAACTACACATTCAAAGATATCAACAAGATAGCGAAAGTACCATAACACGTCAAACTAACACGTTAAAAACAAAATTAAAACAGACAAAAGCCGCACTAAAACTACTAATCCACATCACCACAATTAACTATAAGCCCAAACAAAGCCCACATATCAACATAATCGAAACCCTAAATCAACCCATGAGCCTAAACGAATCCTACCACCACCACCTAAAGAAGCGTCGTCGCGGCCACACCCAGAATCTCATCCGTAACAAATCTGGGAAAAATATATATGGAGTACACATGAGTCGTCTCCTTGGCCACGTGGCAGCTTCGTCATGTGTGACATTTAGGAAGATTAGATGGTTTGGTATTCTCACATTAGAAACTTGAAACATATTTGTTTGTGACATGGAAAAGGAAAAGTAGTCTTACGATGGTGGATACTTGATTTAATTTGATGATTCGCTAACAGTTTCAATCATTTTATTAAGTGTTTGTCCCCAAATAGAAAGTACAAATAAATAATAAGACCAGTTTCAATAATGAATGCTCTGCAAGTGACTGTTTTACAATTTATTTGCCACATATGCATATGTTGCATTGATATGTGATATGTCTTTTGGTGTTAGTTTTGCTACTGAATTATTCTCTAAATGCAGGATTCCTTTATCCAACTGGTGACATAAATCTTGCTTGGATGTTATAAGCGTCCTGCTAACCTCGGTTTTGAGCATATGCAGTAATGTCAGTCTTCTTATAGCTCCAAAATGATTTCCCTAGCGTAGTGAACAGATGGAAAAAAAGAGAGAGGGGAAAGAAAAATAATGGAAGAGAGAGAGAGAGAGAGAGAGAGAGAGAGAGAGAGAGAACTGTTGGAATCCCACATCGGTTGGGTGAAAGAAAATAAATGGGTTTAAATAGAATTACCCCACTCTAACTAATATCGAGGCCTTTTGTGGTAAAACCCCACACCTGACGGATTGGGCCGGTGGTAAAGTGGGGACAGTATCGATGTTGTTAGAGTGGGACCCAACGGGCAGATCTAAAAATTCAACATGGTATCAGAGCCAAGGCCCGTACAAGCCAATGAAGCTTGTCACCGAGAAGGAGAAACAAGTCGGACTCTTAAAAAAAAAAAAAATGAAAAAAATAAAAGAGGGCCAACGAAGCTTGAAAAGAGCCGACCTCTGAGTTCCATTGAAAACAAGTGGGCCCAACGAGAGCCAACCTCTGAGTTTCAATTGCCGATGTATGGATCTTCACGTGTGATTATACGTGAGGGGGAGTGTTGGAATCTCACATCGGTTGGGTGAAAGAAAATAAATGGGTTTAAATAGAATTACCCCGGTAAAGTGGGGACAGTATCGATGTTGTTAGAGTGGGACCCAACGGGCAGATCTAAAAATTCAACACAGCTTTGGTGGTCCAAAATGGATTAAAATCAGTATAAAAAAAAAATCCTTCTTATCTTTTAGCTGGAAAGGGAAGAATAAATTCAACTAGAGTTGTTGTCAAATTATTAAATAAAGATCAAAACCAAATTGTAGCAACTTGAGATCTCTGTTTAACAGAAGAGAGTCGGGTCAAAGAAAAAGAAAGGTGAAGGAAATTACCCGAACAACACCCTCCCTAGCAGACAAAACAAGAATATCTGAACAAGAAACAGCTCCAGGGCATTCCCTCTCCAGTGCTTCTTTAATTTCTTCAAAACTAAAAAACTGAAGGGTTTTTAGGTCTAATGATCCATAAACTTTGACTGATTCGCATTTTGGTCCCTCAATTTCCAAAATTGTTCTCGTGGTCCTTCAACTTCACTTTCGTTAGGGCAAATAGTCTTGCCGTTAATTTTGTTATCTTTTATGTTAAATGCATAGGCAAAATGGTATTTTTGTATTATTTTTATTTTTCACCTTCTGAATATTCCTTTCACTCAAAAAATAAAAATAAAAACTAAAAAACCTTCTTCCTATCCTCACCATCGCATGGAGGGTGGGGGTGTCGGTTGTGAGAGCACCATTAGTTGTTGCCGAGGTGGTGGGTTAATTGGCTCGGTGTCCATGGCTCTGTTGGAATATTCAGATGGTAGAAATTAAAAATAATACAAAAATATCATTTTGCCCCTACATTTAACAGAAAAATTTGACAAAAGTACCATGTTATGACTTAGGGCTTGTTTGGGACTGCTTTTCTAGGAAGTACTTCTGCTCATAAGCGCTTCTAACAAAAGCACTTTTATTATAAAAATCTTGAATTTTCATAAAAAATTAAAGTGCTTCGTGGAAAAGCACTTGGAAGTGCTTCATGAAGAAGCACATAGCAGGTGCTTCTCCAGGAAGCGCTTCTATGACCCAGAAGCGCTTCTAAACTTTTCTGCCAAACATTGTCAGAAGTGCTTTTAGTTATCAAAAAGCGCTTTTAGCCCTTCCAGAAGCACTCCCAAAACATTGAGAATAAATGGCTTATTGAGAATGCTATAGTTCATAAGTTGTGTCAATGAAAACCAAGCCATTATAACCAAGTTAGGTCTAATGAGCTTGAAGATCTTGAAGCACGCAACTACTTTTCATCCCCTCGAGTTGATAAAAAATCATGCAACAAGCTTGCTTTCCAATGAATTGTCGCCTTTCCAATGCTTTCCAATGAGTTGGCTACATGCCACATGGCACAATTGGCTGGCTTCAATTATAAACTACATATATGTAATTGAATACAGGAAAAAAATATTACAAAAGACTATTTTATTTTCTTCGATAATAATCAACTATAGACTTTAATTTCAGGCATTATATTGAGCTTCCAAAATTAAAGTTAATTACGTTGATTTAACCCAAAAAGGAAAAATCAAATTACTCTAAACCTTTTTCTCTTCCTATTTTTTAAATTTTAAGTCAACTTCCTCTGTTTCCTCCTCTGTTTCTTTTTTTCTTTTATAAATTAAATATATTTGACAAAGTGATGAATTGTAAATTGTAATCAAACAATAAGAGATGAATCTTATGATAAATGTATGGCCAGAAAATAGAGTGCTGGGAAATAGGTGGCATTGATTTCAGCTTGCCTGATCTCTTTTTGAAAATCTTGGTAAAGTGTCTTCCAAAAATACTTCCAATTAGTCACATATCACCTTTTTAAAACTTTGCCTCTCTGCATCAGCTACTTGATCTTCCCAATTTCCTTCCTCTCACGTACCAACAAAATCGGCGAACTCGAGGAATCAGATTCAAAACCCGACGAGTCATCCCGGAACCCGAATCCGAATCCTAAAACCGCGAGGACAAAGGTTCCAGAAGTGGAGATCTACTTGTATCGGCGAGGTAAAGGCCCGATCGAGACGTTCAGGACGAGCCTCGAGGACTGGGACCAGAACCAGTTGGAGGTCCGAGACATTCTCGACAAATACTGCTTAAGATCGCTTTACGCTTTCAATACCTGGTCGGGTCGCGGCGTTCCGATCCGGTTTAACCCCAGGAACGGCAGATCTATGCTGGCTTATAAAGATGGATCTAAGGTTCACATTGACGGAGAGCCCAAGGTACTTCATTTCTATATCTTTTTATTTTTTTTATTTTTATGAAAACCCAATTGTGAAATTAATCGAAGTAAGTTTCTGTTTGGTTGCCTAGAAAATTTGGTTGCATTGGGTAGAAATAAATGTAACTTTAATGTGGTCGTAACAGATATTGAATTTGAGTGTGAGATAGAATAGATAGAGAAGTGTTTGACACTTAATGCAGAATTTTTCATATTGAGAATGCTTTGTTAAGGCAATTTATATTTTCATGGTTTGCAGCCATCATATTCCAACTATATGAAATAAATGAACTAGGCTGCAGGTCACTCTCAATTAGCAATAGGGTAGTTCCTCCATACAATCAGAACCTCTAAAGCAAGATATATTATAGCAATTTACTTCGTTGAATTTGAGCCATCAATTTCCATGCTTATTTTCTGTTCTTTTGTTTACATGACATTGTGTTTGCAGCCTAAGAATGGATGTGATTGTGACTATTGAGTTCACCTAAAGAACTTGCCGGATTCATCTTATAGGTTTTGATCATGTATATGATAGACACTGAGTTTTACAACCACATATTCCTAAACAGTAGGATTTCACAGCATTTTTCTTGAAGAATTCTTTTTCATTTGTTGGAAAATTTGGCATCAAAGTAATAATTTGATCTTTCAAAATAAGACTCCATCCCTTAATCAAGCCATTAGTCATATTAAATTTCTCTGCAGTATAAAGTATTAAGTTATGATATTCAGTTGGTTAAGGGCATTTATCCATACACGAGAGGTCTTAGGTTCGATTTCCACTCCCTCAATATCATTTGTACCAACAAAAAAAAGGCACAAAATATTGTCCTCCAATTTGGTTAGGTAAATAATAACCTAATAGTTGTATTTAATCTAAAGAGGACGCTTGAAGTTCAAATTCTCTTTGTACACATGATGATGTATGATAACAGTCTGAGGTTTAGGTTGAGATGTAAAGGGTTATGTATGCCTATTTTAGCTTAGAAATATAAAAGAAAATTTAATGGAAAGACCCAAAAGAAATAACCAAAATTTGAAGTAATTTTGGATATTTCCATTGGAAATCTAGAGATACTGAAGAGAAGAGATTAGAGGCGAAGTTGAACAAGCATGAGAAATAGCTGAGGGAAAGGGAGATGTATTTGAACTGAAGATTTGCTGAATTAAACTCAAATATTGTATAACAAACATGAAAATCCACATATTTGGGACACAAGAAAACAAAAGCTAAAGGAAGAACCAAAGATAGTAGGTCAAGACCACATAAGTAACTCTTACCCAAAAGTTAATTTAAAGATTCCATGAAGCAGTAACTCATAGTGAGACAATCCAAAATGGGTTCCAACAGTTTGGGGTTTCTTGGCATTCGTCTGACAAAAACAGGACCCCTTTCCTAAAAGTAAAAATAGCAAAAGTTCCCGTAAAGAACCTGCAGGATTCATCTTATAGGTTTTGATAATTTATATCATAGACACTGAGTTTTACAACCACATATTCCTAAAAAAAACAAGGATTTCACAGCATTGTTCGTTTTTATGGTCAGAAACTGTTGCTATTAGCACAGCACCGCATACTTCCTTATGTGTTTATTGTCTATTTCATGAGCAGTCTGTCAGGATCTCCTGCATCTTTTGTCTTTCCACCCTCGCATTTCCTTCTAAAAGACAAATAATTTGATTTTCTCCCATGTAAAGGAATGCTCTGCAGGTGGACTGTTTACAATTTATTTGCCACAAGATTCTTTGATATGCATTATGTTGCAGACAGTGGAATGTTGCAGTGACATGTGATATGTCTTTTGGTACTAATTTTCCTACTTAATTCTTCTCTAAATGCAGGATTCCTTGATCCAAAACAATGGATAGATAAATGGGTGATTATCAACCGATGCATTATATAAAATGCATCCAGACAGTAAATTAACTGGTTTATAAATAGTTACATTATTTTTCAAAAAAAAAAAATTCTATGCATATAGTGGTATTGTGGAATATGTTTCTACTACTTGATGCCTTAAATGCCTTTAGCTTATAGGACTTAATAAACCAGCATAAAGAGTGCTAGCTTTTTTCTTCTCTTGGTACTTTGATTCAAGAAGTACATGTTAGCTAAATCTGCCTCAATCTTGAATGTTTGAAGTTTTATGCTCTTCTACATTACAGTCCTACTTGGATCTCTATTTTCGTTCTTCATTGTATATGTAAGACAATGGCATTAAAATCACTGTCAGCTTTTGGATCCATTACTTCTAGTTTGAATTACAATGGCATTAAAGATAAATTGGGTTGTGTTTGTTGCATACTGCCTTTTAGCCTCCATCCATATCCCTACGTAAGCTTGTTTTATATCATATCAATAAAGGTGAAAGGTTGCTTTACCAAATAATATAAGGCGCGTTAGCGCTTTAGGACATTCCTTTTAAGAAAGTATCTATAGCTCACAATACATCTTAATTTTTTGTGACTTTAATATACACTATAGCATATGTTGTAATGTCAGTCTTATAGCTACAGAATGATTTCCCTAGGTGAAAATGTCATCCTCTGCTTTCGTGGAAATGTGAGTACATACATTTTGACTAGATTGACACCTACTACTCATTCATAAATCATGTGGTACCTCATAAATCCAGTTCTCTAAATATTTTAATAACGAAAGTTATTATAGTTTGTTTATTTCAAGATACAAGTAGCACTGCCCAATTCTACTCTACATATTGACCATGGTGAAAAATTGTTGTCTCAGACGACGCTCACTTATACAACAGTTTAATGAACGTCTTAGAATTCCATTTTGTTACATAAGGTAATTTAAAACTTAGATATGCTAAATAAGAGGAGACTGCATAATTAAAGGAGATTGCACAAACTATCAAGGAGATGAAGTGAAGCAAACAAAGTAGGAATCCCGACAAAGCAGTTGATCGGCTGCAGATACGATCAATTCTCATCTTATAGGCTTATTCTATCCTGCACACAACAGAATAGAGCAGTTGAAATAGTCACGTAAGTTATGTCAATAAGAATCAAACCATTATAACAAAGCTAGGTCTAATGAGCTCTTGAAGTGCAAATTTCGTGCGAACCTGGCCAATAAGCACGCAACTACTTTTGATCAGCTTCAAATCCTGTATCAAGACCCCAAATTTGAGTTGACTACTTTTGTTCAGCTTCAAATCCTGTATCAAGACCCCAAATTTGAGTTGACTACTTTTGATCAGCTAGGTCTAATAAAAAACAATTCAGTCTATCTGAACATACTTATTGATTGCTAATGTAATTACTTATTGATTTGCTGTATGTTAACAGATACTTCGTTCAAATGCATAAAATATGCAGCTCTTGCAAACATGTATGCACTACATGAGTTGATTAATGCTCTGCAGTATTTTAAACAGAAATGCATTCATGGCAAAAGCACATGAAGAGAGAGAGAGAGAGAGAGAGAGAGAGAGAGAGAGGAATTGTCATCTAAGAACCAATAAATGATGAATCTAATGGTAAATGTATGGCTAGAAAAGATATGATGGGAACTTACTAATATCAATTGTGAGAAGACCGTCATTAGCCTTTCAAGTAATTATGTGCAGACATTTGAGGAGGCGGCGTTTTTAACGAAGGTCGTAAAAATTTAGCTGCTCTTTTAAGAACGAGAGTTTTGATTAAACTTTTCAACAATAGCGAAAAATAAGAGGGTGCAAGGCCTAAGTAGGAAATCAAAGTGGTTACCCACCAAATCAAAAATCCTATGCACCCCCATTGTTTGCTATTGTTGAAAGATTTCATAAAAACTGCAGTTGTTAAAAAGAGGGAGTAAATTTTTACAAGTTTGGTTAAAAACCATTTGGAAAGAGCATAGCTTTTGCGGCAGAGAGATTTTTGGTGAGAGCTTCCACTTCCACTTGCACTTGCATCAGCTGAATTGTGCGGAGAAGTAGCTTTTGTGCTGATGTTGATGGAGTGGTTTATCATCATGATTTTGTTGAATTCTTCCACGTCTTGCTTGTGCACCAAACGGAACCCACACTTCTTTATACCCGAACATATTCTGTCTACGCCCTCCAAATATTGATATTGGAATGAAATCTTCATATGACTGCATTCTTTGTCTACATAATGATATATACAAGATGCCCAAAGGTGAGGTGACACAAGATGGCCGCTATCAATGACAACACTATACACAGGGACAAGTAATACTAAAATCGTTAATAATGTCAATGTCATGATCCACAGGGGAACTTTCTTCAAAGACAGCACAAAATGCAATCCAAATCGGCGTGGTACATGGAGGTAGCTCCACAATTAAGAAATCTCCTTCACTTTGATTATTGAACCACTCTGGAATTCTACTTCCAGGTGTTACAATTTCGAAATCGGGAAAGGTGAATTGGGGCCAATCCATGTGGCCAAGTCAGTACAGGTACCTGTACCATGTATAGGTTAGTAACTTGATTATTTATTATTATTATCGCAAACAAAGAGAGACAGAGAGACAGAGAGAGAACCTGAAGGAATCCGCAATCCAGAGCAGTCCAGAGCATTCCAAGTATTATACTATCATCGTAGCCATCATTCTCAACCAATCCAGAGCAATTCAAACAACTCAACCTAACACTTCTTCTTCCGTTTTTTATGCTCAACTTTGGCAACGTTTTTAAGGAAGTGCAATCGTCTGTGTACATGTAAATATACCCAAAATACCCTAAGCCTTCATTATCAACCAATTCAAGGCGGAGATGGGGCAATTGTTGAAGCCTTTGGCACCCATTCACCCAAAATTTCCTAAGCTTAGAAAGACATCCAATGCTTGCAGGAAGGCAAACAAAATTGTTTCTACTAAGGTTTAATGCTTCTAAAGAGGACAAGCAGCCAATATCAATGGGAATATCCTCATCACAAAGCCCACAATCACTTAGATCCAATTCCTTCAAAGACCATAAACTATGTAGCGAACCCAACACAATAGCCTTTCTTTGGAGGCCCCACCTAAACCTTGATTTTTTAGGCTGTGATCCATATTTCAAAGAACGCAAATCTTCAACAACAAAGCATGACTCTGAATTATTATAAGGCATAGAGATATATAAATGGAACATCTCCCCCCAGTATATTGGGCCTGCGCCACTATATGAGCATCCATCCGCATAGAGCACTTCAAGAGAGTTCAAATTACAAATTTCACTCGGAAGACCCAAGAGATTTTCACAATTGCTTACATCCAGAAAAGTAAGGCCAACAAGACGTCCAATTGATGAAGGTAATTTCTCAATGGGCGTCCCACTCAAAATAAGCATTGACAACTTTTCCATTTGTCCTGAAAATTCTGGAATCTTTTTCAATTTTGAGCAATCCTCAACACCAAAATATATAAGAGAATCCATTTCTACCTCCCTTGGAAGACTCTTAACACTTTTGCATCCATTTAGAATTAAATCTGTAAGCCATTTCAGAAATGCAATGGACGGGTGAACCTCAACTAAATTCACGCACCATCTAAGATTCAATACCTTGAGTTTTGGAATGCCTGTGAAATTTGGGGTTGTTGCCAAGTTTCGAGATCCACTAAGGTTCATGTATTTCAAATTGGGCAAGTCCTGTACAATATTACATGAAAAATAGTAGAATATATAATTAGCAACCCAAAAACTTAAACTTTTACTCTTTTCTTTCAAAAAATTTGTAAGATGGCAAATGGTCAGTAATCTTACAATTCTTTCATCCCAGAGCCCAACTAGTTTGCTGCCCTGCATCTCAAGTGAAACAAGTTTATTCGGTTGAAAATTTGATGGGACATATTTGGAAGAATACCGATTCCATTTCATAATTCTTAAGGAATTAGGAAGAATTCTGGGGATTGAGGAAATGATCACATTATCAACTTCAAGAAATTTCAGGTTCATCATCTTAGAGAATGCTTCACAATTCCAATCTGTCTTTTCAAGTTCTACCATTCTTAAGGCAATGCCTTGAATTTTGTTAGTTGCCTGTAATAAAGAATAGAAAGGGAAAAGTTAATTCGACAAGTAAGTCTAATATTGAGTTAAAAAGAAATCATATATATATTTTTAAAACAAACAAAAATTGGTATTTTCTACATAACTACTGACCGTATTGTTTATTAATACATGCATGATGTCATTAGGATGACACAATCGACTGCGTCTACCAGGCTCTTCAGGAGACTCTTGACGAACAATTTGAAATGCCATTTCTTGTATCAAATCATGCATCCCAACAATGTGAACGTGCTTTGAAATATCAATAGTTAAGAGCGACTTCTCAACCAGAGCATTTATCCCACCACAACGATCACAAATGTTTAGTATTTCAATTACTTTATTCTTTTCCTTCCCCTTATGGAAAAATGCAACATCAAGAAATATATTCTTGTTCATCTCATCTAGTGTATCAAAACTGATTTTGAGCACTTTCAAAATTTCTTTCTCAGGAATTTTCCGTAGCTTATCCAATTCATTTTTCCATTCATCTCGGTCTCTCTTATACATAGAGCATCCCAATATTTTAAGTGCTAATGGAAGGCCTCCAGCATAATTTACAAAGCACTTGGACAATTCCAAAAAACCTTCCTCAGGCTCAAATTTTTTAAAGGCGTTCAGACTAAAGAGCTCAAGAGCCTCATCATCACCTAATCCCTGAACCTGATATGATATCTCCATATCATGCTTTTTAACCAACCGTTCATCTCTAGTTGTAATGATGATTATACTCCCCTTACCAAACCAATCCTTTTCCTTGGCAAATTTCTCTAGCTGGCTTGACGCATTCACATCATCAAGAATGAGAAGAACCTTTTTATTACATAAGCAACTCTTAATCAAATAGGCCCCCACTGTTCATCCCAAACTTGAGTAATTTGTTCCTTCAAAATCGGGGAAAGCAGCTGTCTTTGTAGATCAACAAGACGATTACCTTCAGAAGCCTCTCTTACATTAACAAGAAAGCAGGGAACTTCAAAATGAATAGAAATGCTTTCATAAACAAGTCTAGCAATGGTTGTCTTGCCAATGCCTCCCATCCCCCATATCCCTACAAAGCGAACATCATCTGTAGGATCTAAAAGCAAATCCATTTCCTCACGTGTAAACTTAATTCCCACTAACTCTGTGGAATCTAACAATTTGAATGTGCGATGCACTTTCCCCCACACCCAATCAACAATCTTTTCAATGAGCTTTTTTTCACACCTACAAGGAAGAACAATGATTAAGTCAAAAGTATAAGCCATCTTTACCAAAAAAAGAAAGTATAAGCCATAGATATAACAAGGTCTAAAGGTACATCGAAGTGAAAATTGGCTTACGAAAAACCCAAGTATATATGGAGAAGTTGCTTACTCATTCTTTGAATCAAACCCAGATAAATTGGCAACTTCTGTTAAAGCAGCTCTCCAGCGCTTCACTTTTTCTATGTCTTCCCTAAACCTTTTCTCATGCTCAGCGAACGCCCCTGCAAAACTGCCGCTTTGTTTTCGCACATCGGAGGGATCCACATTATAAAACACAGGCAGCACTGAGCCGTTGGATTTCATGCATTGGAGAATCTTTGTAAGTTCATCCAAGCACCAGGAAGAAGAAGCATAGTTTGGCGAGAGAACAACGATTGCAAGCCTCGATTCTTGGATTGCTTTGAAGAGCTCAGAAGAAATAGTTGTCCCTCTTTCAAGCTTTGGATCATCCTTGAATGTTTTAATGCCCCTGTGCTGCAATTCGTGGTATAAATGGGACACAAAGCTATTTCGAGTGTCTGCACCCCTGAAACTCAAAAACACATCGTAGTTCCATTGAGGAGGAGCCGACTGATCAGCTGAAGGATGAAAAGCAGAGGCTCTTTGGGTGCTCAACGCCATTGGAAATCCGCAGCTTCTGCTGTAAACACTACTCAATGAAACAAGAACTTCGCTAATTAAATATTCAAAAATCCAAACACTCAACTGAATAAATACGAAGATGATCATAAATGACTTGAAAAATGAAAAAGATTGAAATTGAAATTTGGTAAATGGCGTTTGAAGGCATATAATGCAGCAGAACAAGTTTCAGAGCAACTGGGGAAATTTGGATCATCTAAGCAAACATGTCAATTTGGACGTTAACAAAAGATATCAATTAGTATCTAACAAGAGAACATTACTTCCAATTCAGCAGAGAGAAATTCAACATATTATTTAGCACAACTCATAAGGAACAAAAACGACCAATTTCAACATTAAAACAAAAATATCATGTCATCTCAAATAAAGGGTTGGCATTAAAAAGCCTCATCACTAACTACACCAGTCAACTAAAAACTACAAATGCTTTATCTTAATGTTACCTGAACAAAGCAATTATATTAAAATGGAGACGAAGCAAGGCAGCAGCTTTAGCTTAATGTTACAACGCCAGAGAATTGGTAAGACAACAACCACAAGATCAGCAAGCCAACAAGAAACTCACAAAAAATACAAGATCAGCAAGAAGCAAAGCTAACAGCCTCAGAAAAGAGACGTATAGAGAGAGATAAGTAATGGCGAACATAGAGAGAGGTTACACGGTTTTTATGGTCAGCTATCTCCAACGTCTCCAATGGGAGTCCAAGTCTTGCTGAGTCAATGAGTCATTTCTTTTGCTTTTCAATGATGATGACGTATGAAATAGTCCAACGTTTAGGACAAATTTGTTCAATATCAACAATAATTTACCTTGTGAGGTGTGGTCAACAATAATTTCAAGTATATTAGTTTAAGATCAATGACGTAAGCCTGAATTTATGGGCTAGGAATTCTCAACTACAAAACTTACCAGTTTGCCCAGCCACTGCACACTTGATGGTTAGATATAAAGAAGATGATAAGTGGCATGGATGAAACACAGAAAACACAAAAATAGTAATTACCTTTGTTTGGGTAAAAATGGAAATCAATTAAACAATAGAAAAATAAAGAGCCAAAGGACGCCGTGCAGCAGAAAGTACACTGAAGAAAAGAAACCCACAAGGAAATGTAGGAAGGAACAGATGGAAAAAAAGGAGAGGGGAAAGAAAAATAATGGAAGAGAGAGAGAACCGCGTGGTGAACACAGGTTTCTCTCTCCAGCCACAGAACGACTCCAATGAGAAAGGGAACATACGAAATTTCATGGAAGTTCCCTCTTTGAAATGGGTTTTCTCATTCTTTAGCTTTACTTTTATCACCCTCTTTGGAATATTGGGATCACTAAAACGAAAGGACCATGTTTATGGTCTGTGTAGTAATATCAGTCTTGTTATAGCTCCAAAATGTCATCCTCTCTTTTCTGGAAATGATTTCCCTATCGTTTAACATAACTTGTGTCAATAAGAACCAAGTCATTATAACAAAGCTAGCTAGGTCTAATGAGCTTGTAAATCCTGAGGTGCAAATTTCATGCCAATCTAGCCAATAAGCACAAAACTATTTTTGATGAGCTCCAAATCCTGTATCAAGACCCCAAATTTGAGTTGACTACTTTTGATCAGCTAAGTCTAATAAAATACCATTCAGTCTATCTGAACATACTTATTGATTACTGAATGTAATTACTTCTTGAGTTGCAGTATGTTAACATATACTTTGTTCAAATGCATAAAATATATACTTTGTTCAAATGCTGAATGCAATTACTTATTGATTTGGAGTATTGCTTTGCAGTAGTTTAAACAGAAATGTTCTTTCTCATGTATTTATGACAAAAGCACATGAGAGAGAGAGAGGAATTGTCATCCAAGAAACAATAACGGAAACTGTGTAGAGTACTGGCTAGCACTGGTGAGCACACGGTTTCTATTGTCTTCTTTGCAATGGGAGTCCAAGTCTTCTTTGCGTCAATGAGTGATTTATTTTGCTTTTCAATGAAGACGAAGGAGGGCATCATTTCATTTCCGACAAGTTCTTTTGAGTGTCAAAGCCAATTATTTGAATGGCTGCTTTTCTTGGTGTGTAGTGAGATTTTTTATTTTTTATTTCTAGGTCACACTAATAGTCCACATCATCATAATTAACTATAGTTCAAACAAAGTCCATATACCAATATAACCAAAACCATAAATCATCTTATGAGTCTAGATGAACCCTACCACCACCATCTGAAGAAGAATTGTTGTGGCCTCACCCACCACCACAACGTAATAGATCTAAGGAAAACATGGAGTACACAGGAGTCGTGCCCTTGGCCACATGATAGCTCCGTCATGTGCGACATTTAGGAAGATTAGATGGTTTGGGTATTTTCTCATTAGAAACTTGAAACATATTTGTTTGTACCATGGAAAAGGAAAAGTCGTCTACTTGATTTAATTTGATGATCCGGTTCAATCATTTTGTTGGAGTGCTGCTAAACGAACCCTAAAATTAACTGAGTACACCCTATGATCTAAGTACACTATAATATTTAAATCAAAATATAAAATTAACTAAGTACACCCTAGTTAACTACCAAAAATACCCCTGGAACACCCTTATACACTCTATCACACAACACCCTAATACCAATCCTAAGCCAGGTTTCTCTATTCATGCTCTATTTTCCGATTTTGGGTTGCAGTACACTTGAGAGAAATTGGTAAGGACTGGATTTGTGCATGAATGAAACTTTGTGTTGATTTGTCAAATTGCGTTGGCTCATCCAAAGTTTCAACTGCAGCTGTGGCTGAAGATGGGAGCTGGTCGATCGAGAAGCCAACACTTCAGAACATGAACAAGCAAGGTGAGCAAGATTGCTTCAGTTTTAACATCACAATAATTGAAGGGGTCCTTTGTAGCAGTGTTTATCTAAATGGTGTACATATTGATGATGGTTGTAATGTCGACAGTTGAAACTAGTGTAACACCCCATGATACAACAGGTGGAAAGCTAACCAAGATATGCGAAGCCGATTGTGAAACTTGGAATCGATGTATAAATTGTAAATAGTTGAGGGCCTTGAGTGAAGAATTGAAAGGCAACCTTCCTAATAACTGGCTTGGAACCGCAATCCTGTTTTCCAATAAATGAATTACGATCGCTCTAACAGAGGAGGGAGAGAGAGATGGAGACGGGGAGCAATAAAACGGAAATAGAAAAGTTTTCTCCTAGCTAACAGAGGTGTCGAAAGCCTGCATTTGGATAACCCCAATAAAGGCATTTGGAGAAGACGCTCAACCCAGCAAGCCCAGAAAACTGATTGTTAGACGTTAGAATATAATTTTCAGATTCTACGATGGGCCGATGAAGCTCATTGTATGTACGGATAGAAAATACATTTGTATTATTATTAACACATGGTCACTATATTCTTTTTGTTCATTTTATATGAGGGTAAATTAGTAATTCAATAAATAATTTGGTAATAGGGTGCGCTCAATTAATTTTAAGGTTCATTTAGCAGCACTCTTTTGTTGAGTGTTTGTCTCCAAATAGAAAGTAATAATAATAAGAAATAATGAATAAAAAGGAATTACTTTTTTTTTTTTACAATAAAAAGGCAGTTACTTTTTTTTTTTGGTCAATAAAAAGGTAATTACTTTTTTTTTTTACAATAAAAAGGCAGTTACTTTTTTTTTTTGGTCAATAAAAAGGTAATTACTTTTTTTTTCTTTATTAATGATAAACTTGAACAATACATTCAGGGCATGTTTACGTATCAGTAATGGAGAAAGTAAGGAATCAGAGAATTTAGGAATCGGGGAGCTAATGAATCGGTATGGGAAGAATCATTCCCATTAAGCTGTTTACTAAACATATGAAATTAGCAAAGGAATGTGGTTGATTCCCATTGTTATTGTTTACTAAGTTTCATGAATCAGAATCCAAATTAATTTGATTACTAAAATGCCCTGCACATTTTCACCACAACACATATATAATTCTCAAATTGGCTAAGGAGACCAAACTAATCCGGTAGCAAACTAGTAAGACGGTGTAAACATGAGGAATCAATATGTTGAACAAGATGAACAGCAAGAGGCCAGTTCAATGATAATGTTAATACACCTTTGTCAAGAGCCAATTTCAAATGAAAAAAATGAAAAAATAAACTCCAATAAATATATATCTTTCACCTACGTAACTAGTAAACAATCAAATAATAATGACCTGCATAATCTTCATATTACAAAAAAAAAAAAAGATATATAATCTCCACAAAAGTCTTTATCTATGACCGTACTATGTTTTGTGATGAATGTGAAGACAGAAAATAGAAGAAGAAGATAGATAGATAGAATGATTTACATAGCACAAGGCGTTGCTGCTGCTTATGGGAGGTTGTGTCTGCAACGATAACGTGAAAAAGAAATTGGAGCGTCTTGAAACTTCTTGGCGTGAGTTTTTTTTTTTTTTTTAGGGTTTGGGGTGTTTTGGAATTGTGGTAAAGTAGTAAAGGTATTTTTGGAAGTTATTAAGAGAAAACAGGAATGGGAATCGTATCGACTACTACCCCATAAGTGATCTGATACCCAGTTTTGAGGAGATGTGATTACGGATTTTGAGGTGGGGCCCACTTATTTTTTCATTCCTGATTGCAAGTAAACGCAGGGGAAGTCGGGAATGGAAATCATTCCCTTTCCTCCCATACCCATTACTGATACGTAAACATGCCCTCAAAGAAATCAACATAAAATAACAAACTAACACATTAAAAAAATGCATCCATAAGGTTAAGTAACTATTTTATAAATAATTATTACTGCATCTATAGCATATGCAGTAATGTCAGTCTTCTTAAATTTTTTGTCGAAATGTCAGTCTTCTTATAGCTCCAAAATGATTTCCTTAGCGTAGTGAACAGATGAAAAATGTAGGAACTGATGGAAAAAAGAGAGAGAGGGGAAAGAAAACTAATGGAAGAGAGAGAGAGAGAGAACTGCGTAGTGAACACGGTCCCTTTCTCTTTACAGCCACACGTCGTCTGCAATGGGATGGGGCCGGGCAATATATGAGAATTTGGGCACATGGTTGTTTTTGACAAGTTCTTTTGACTGTCAGGCCAATTATTTCAACGGGAGTCCAAGTCTTCTTGCGTCAATGAGTCATTTCTTCTGTTTTTCAATTATTTCAATAGGTGATTTCTTGGTAAATCGATCAATCAATAATATCGACATCTGGTTAAAGCATAGGTGATTTCTTGGTAAATCGATCAATCAATAATATCGACATCTGGTTAAAGCATCAAGGATTTCCCTTTCGGTTTTTTTTTTTTGGGGGCCAAACCGTTTGGCAAATTTACAATGTTATCCTTCTGTCATAACTTTATTGAATCCCTTAATCATATTATGCAGGATTGTAATTAGGCATAACAATTCTGGTCCATTTTACAAGATTTTGGCATGAAATCCCCACCTACTAATCTAGAGGATCATGTCCCAATGGCATTAGGTTTCACCTTCTTTTCTTTTGTTGAAGGATTCTTTACCATATGTTGGAAAATTTGGCATCATAGTAATGATTTGATCTTTCAAAATAACACTAAGGGCCTTAATCAAGCATTTAGTCATTTTAAATTTCTTCTCAATATAATCTATTAAATAATGACCTTACAGTTGGTCAAGAGCATTATCCCTACAGCAGAGGTCTTACGTTCAATTTCCCTTCCACCAATATCACTTATATATAAATAAATAAAAAATAAAAAAAAGCACAAAATATTGTCCTCCAATTTGGTTAGGTAAATAATAATCTTATAGATGTATTTAATCCAAAGAGGACGTTTGAAGTTCAAATTCTCTTTGCATATGTTAGCAGCGCGACTCATCATAGTGGCACAACTCATACATACATACGAAGTTTTGCATACATGATGACGTACGATAACAGTTTGAGGTTTAGTTTGAGATATAAAGGGGCATACCAATTTCAGCTTACAAAAATAATAGAAAATTTGCTGGAAAGACCCAAAAGAAAAAAACCAAAATGTGAAGTAAATTTGGACAAGCATGAGAAACAGCTGAGAGAAAGGGAGATGACAATGCATTTGAACTGAAGATTTGCTGAATTAAACTGGAATATTGTATAATAAACATGAAAATCCACATACTTGGACACAAGAAAACAAAAGCTAAATGAAGAACCAAAGATAGTAGCTTAAGACCACATAAGTAACTCTTACCCAAAAGTTAATTTCAAGATTCCATGAAGTTGAATCTCACAAGCCAAAACTAGAAGCATCGATTCCGTTTCAAAAGTTGAAGCAATAACTCGTGGTGAGACAATCCAAAATGGGGTTCCTACAGTTCGAGGTTCTTGGAGTTCATCTGACAAAAACATGACTACTTTCCTCAAAGTCAAAGCATGGCTAAACAGAAATAACTTAGTATACAGCGTGTACATACAATGGCTATGAATCGGAAGCATAAAAAATGAAAAATTTAGGCAGCCCAGCATTAGAGGTGAATTGCTCAAATAAATTCAGCATGCACAACCACCTCCTTGATCAGACTCTGAAACAGCCTCCGGGATGCCTTGGAAATATCTGCAAGTAAAAAGGAAATGGCAAAAAAATGATAAAACATCATGTTTAAATGGGTCATAAATGTATCTCATAGCAAGCTCCAGAATATGAAAATAACAGCATGCAGCAATAATAGCAGAAAGACAGAAACATTCTTGATGGAAAGGTGAGGGGCTTTGTAAGGTGACCGAAAGGTGGGGACATTGTACGACGACGGAAAAGCGGAGGCACTGTAAGGTTATGGATAAGGTGTTTGAGATCTAAGGGGAAAAATTCATTAAAATCCTTATTGATCTAAACAACACAGCCACTTATCTACTTCTTAACTATAAACTGTTATAACAGCATCCTAGAAGATCAAAGATCAAATGCCCATCCTCTTATGATTCATGTTCGCTACTTATCTAATTCTTAACTCTAAACTGTTATAACAGCATCCTAGAAGATCAAAGATCAAATGCCAATCCTCTGATGAGACTGGTGAAACCAGGCTTTATCCACACTTACCACTATTCTCACCCTAGAAGATCTCAAATTAAGTTTTAAGGAGAATATTTCACTATGTTTATGTCCTTCATGTCATAGAGGTGTGCTATCTATCGACTGTGCGCAAATGATTCCAAAAAACAGCTGATCCTCATTCTCTGAATCTGGAGTAGCTGATGAAACTAAGTATATTCTAAAAACAGTAAAATGTAGAACCACAGACATTAACAAGAAGACAAGACAACCACATACAAAATTGAGTTTCGTATTATAACACAACCATCCAAAATCAGTTCATTGACAATATCCAGTTTTGACACCAAAGACCATTTACTAGCCTTCATGTTGGTCAAACGCAGAAACACAGAAAATGTGACAGCATATAATTCCCTCTCTTTTTCACATTAAATTACATGCACTCATTTGGCAAATTGTTAAGTTCAACACTAAACAAGTCTGGAAAATAAAATACATACGAAAAAGAGCAAAGCCAAAAGCTTACAAAGGAAAAATAACTAGACAATAGCAAAGGATATCATTATAATTTAATCCACAAATCTTTTTGAGGTGAAGACTGATACCTGTGGAAAAACTTACTTGTTCATGACACCTCCATTGACGGAATCACAATAATGCTTCATCCAGCACATGAACTCCAAATTATCCAGAGGCCTCGTTTCACATGCTTGCTCACCTCAATGTGCTAAAAATCCCCAAACACATACAGAATACCAAAAGAAGAGTAAAGAGATAAATTATTTAAAGGAATTTTACAACAGAAATTAAAGAGAATGAAAATGCAAACTTACCGTACGCTGGCCAGGAATAATTGTTGAAACATGACCCAGTTTAAGCTGTTTTTCTTCTTTGCTCCGCAATGAATATTCAAATGATCCATTATTTGAGCCAGCATCATGGAAAATAGCAACTTCTAGCAGCGAAGTAAGCATGATTTGTATCAGCGAACATTTAAAAAATGAAAATCTAAGGAAAACGTTACAGTATACCAGTGAAATAGCAGTAAAAGACGTTGAGAGAATGAGAGAGTCTATTGTGTACTGCTTGTAATCAGTCACACATGCTATATTCTGTCAGTGGAATGAAATCATATAGCATGTGTGACTGATTACAAGCAGTACACAATAGACTCTCTCATTCTCTCAACGTCTTTTACTGCTATTCCTCTCTTGCATTTTATCAAACACTTTCTCTGCAAGAAAACTCTTCTTCTTCTTTGTAAAACTCCAACACACTCTCTCTCTCTCTCTCTCTCTCTCTCTTGCTTGCTAGCTATGGCTTTTACCTTTATTTTCTTGAGCTGATGAGGTGCTTGAGTGTCTCCAAACCCTATTCAAAAGACAAGAGGAAATAACAATGTAATCCTATTTACTAAGAACAAAACAGAGCAGTAAAGAATCCATATGAAGCAAGCATTGACTCAAAATTCATTAATTAGTCACCTCCTCTGCAAATGCTTCACCCAAAGAGCAATATAACTCTGCACAAATCACAGCCCAATCCAGTTTTGTTAGGGCAATTTGCAGTGATCACAGTGGGTTCCCCAACCTTCTCTGCCTTGCTAATTACCACAACATCCTGCAATGCTCAGCGGCAACAGAGAAAGTGTGAGCCAAAACGCACTGCATGCCAAAGTCAACAAAATTTCCTATCCATGGACTCACTGCAACCTCCTCTGCCTTCCTTTTTTCTCTCTCTGTGTTTTCCTAAAAGACTATAGTGCAAATATGATCAAGTTTTCTACTTGACAAATTAAAGTATAAACAACTCATAACAGAAAATGTTTACTACAAGCAAAATGTGACATTAATAAATTGAATTAGATCGATATTTTGACCAAAACTTAAGATACTCAAACTCAGTACATCTCAAATAAAGGGTTGGCATTAAAAAGCCTCATCACTAACTACACCAGTCAACTAAAAACTACAAATGCTTTATCTTATTGTTACCTGAACAAGCAATTATATGAAAATGGAGACGAAGCAAGGCAGTAACTTTAGCTTAATGATACAACGCCAGAGAATTGGTAAGACAACAACCACAAGATCAGCAAGCCAACAAGAAACTCACAAAAAATACAAGATCAGCAAGAAGCAAAGCTAACAGCCTCAGAAAAGAGACGTATAGAGAGAGAGATAAGTAATGGCGAACATAGAGAGAGGTTACACGGTTTTTATGGTCAGCTATCTCCAACGTCTCCAATGGGAGTCCAAGTCTTTTTGGGTCAATGAGTTATTTCTTTTGCTTTTCATGAAGAGGAAGGAGGGCATCATTTCATTGCCGACAATTTCTTTTGAGTGTCAGGCCTTTTTTTTTTTTTGGATACTTGTCAGGCCAATTATTATTTTTGGTTGCTTTTCTTGGTAAACTGTGGTGAGATTTTTTATTTTTTATTTTTTGGTCAAACGATAAAGAAAAACTGTGGTGTTAACGTCTCCAATGAGAAAGGACGGAAGGAACATACGAAATTTCACGGAAGTTCCCTCTCTGAAATGAGTTTTCTCTTTCTTTAGCTTTACTTTTATCACCATCTCTGGTTATTGTGATCACTAAAATGAACGGAACATATCTATGGTATATGTAGTAATGTCAATCTTCTTATAGCTCCAAAATGATTTCCCTAGATTGAAAATGTCATCCTCTGCTTTTGTGGAAATGGTTTCCCCTTCATTTAACATAAGTTGTGTCAATAAGAACAAAGCCATTATATCAAAGCTAGGTCTAATGAGCTTGTAGATCTTGAGATGCAAATTTCATGCCAATTATTTGAATGGTTGCTTTTTTTGGTAAACTGTGGTGAGATTTTTTATTTTTTATTTTTTGGTCACACGATAGGGAAAAACTGTGGTATGGAAGGAAAAGGCAATTACTTTTTCTTTCTTTTTTGTCAATAAAAAGGCAATTACTTTTTTTTTTTTTAAACATATTAATTATAAACTTGAGCAATACATTCACTAAAATTACTAATCCACATCACCACAATTAACCAGAAGCCCAAACAAAGCCCACATATCAACATAATCGAAATCCTAATCAACCCATAAGCCTAAACGAACCCTACCACCACCCCTTGAAGAAGCGTTGTCGCGGCCACACCTTAAACTGCATCCGTAACAAAGCTGGGAAAAACATGGAGTACACATGAGTCATGTCCTTGGCCACGTGGCAACTCCGTCATGTGCGACATCTAGGAAGGTTAGATGGTTTGGTATTTTCACATTAGAAACTTGAAACATATTTGTTTGTATGGAAAAAGAAAAGTAGTCTTACGATGGTAAGGGGCGTTTGGTATCCTATTCAAATAGGGAACTCAAAAATTTTGACTTTTCTTAAAAACAAGGAGTTCCTAAATCTATTTTTAAGATTCAAAAACTTGTTTGGTATGCAACTTGAAAACTGTTTTCAAATCTTAAAATTTTGAGAACTTGTGAGTTGTTAGAAAAAAACTGAAAAAATTGATATTTTTTATTTTTAATAATTGAGGTGTTTTTTAGTTGTTCTTGAGTTTGAGTTTTTCAAAATAGGGCTGACAGGACCCGACCCAAATTCCACTTTGGAATCCGAGCCGGACCCTGTTTGTGTCCGACACCTGGCAAGTGCCGAGCACCAAAGACCTAATTGCCCTTGTAGTCAACTTTCAACTAAAACTGGGGTTTGACTTTTGCTGAAAAATTCAGCAAGATCTCCCCCGTAGTTAAACCAATCCCAAGATTACACCTGTCAAACATGCATATAAAATATACACCAACTGTCAGCATGCAAATAATTACATTCCAACAGTCAGACATGCAATCTAGGGCAATATCAGAGCTCTACATAGAAGATTACAGGTGTAAAATAATTACACAAGACCCTACGTTGTCAGGAAATGTGGCGGAAGATGGACTCGGCCCGGTGGTGGCGCACTGGTGCACGACTACTGCCTAGGGGCGCAAAACATTAAAAAGGGTGAGTGGACCAAAACAAAGCGTTAGAAAATAGTATTAGAACATACTAACCCCTCTGTAAAAACAGTTATAAAACTATATCATTTTCTTATTTATACTAGTACTAAAATCAATGCATTTCTATTTATATTTAAGAGCCAATCATACACTTAATCAAACATTAAGTCTTATATAAA